CCCCTGGTGAATTATGAATCGTAAATCTGAGGTCTATTATCGACCAATGTATTATGCCTATTTCTTATTGTACAGTTGTTACGTAACTAAATTATTCATATTCGTGTTTTCTATTATTTTGATCTTTGATTTATGATCATACGATTCTTGAGTTATAATCAGTTTATTGATTACTTTGGTTTGTATAAAAACCCAGTGTGTTTGTAAATAATGATTCATATTGCCGAGGCTGTTATTTGTGTTCTGGACTCAACTGGCTGGGCTAGACAGATAGGAAGGACCGAATAGCACCCAAGACTGCGCTCAGGGCATACTTTATAACAGACATGGTGTCGTGGCATGAAAGAAAGCTGCAAAGGGCTAGCTTCTGTTGGTCCTTCACGACTCCCTGGCTGGGGTCCGAGAGATGTTGCAACACAGTGGCTAGAGACGTTATCAGATATGGCTCAGAATAGAAGCCAGTGGCGATCCTGCTGCAACCTTCTTTTACTTTCTACATAAAGAGTGGTTCTAACTTTCTTAACTGAAAGAGTCTTCTGGTTGTACATTTCAGTCCGCCTTATCTTTTCATCCCTTCTCTTCCTACCTTCATTATTTTGTGTGGCGCATATGTATCTGGTGCCCTTTTGTACCAATATATATGTGTTTAAATAAATAAATAAAAGTAACTCTAGAAGAGCTACAGGCGGAGTTTAATTATTCTTGCTCATTAAATATTTCTGCTCAATAAATTTCCAACTCTTTACTAAAATGGAAATTAGTAATAAAATAATGATATATTTGTGATATTTAATGAATAGGAAATAGAATTTATGACGCTTCGCGGCTTAACAAATAAATAACTAAATAAACTTAGCACAAATGTTAATTTGGTTCGATTATTTACAGGGGAAATACATTCTGCCAAACATGATTATAAATTAACATGTCAAGATATTTACAGAAGAAATGAAAGAATCAAATTAGAAATCAATGGGAATAAAACATAAAAACAAAGGTGTATAAGGCAAGAAAACAACATTATCTATACCATACTAATGTTAAAAGTAATATCAATATTACGAGAGTATGCTTAATGTAAGTACATAACTAAGGTTCACAATCGCCTTTTTTGTTCTTTGTTTAAATATTTCCCACACTGGTAATCTCCATAACACTACTACAAAGATTAGTAGTCTTAGATCCTGCACTCGGATAAGCACTGCTAAGGAGTCCCATCCTAGGAGGAAACGACCGCCCAATGCTTTCAGGTTTTCAATAGCGGTCTAACATTGATCAATTCACGATCTCATGATCTCTACAACCCTATGCTGGTAATTTTTCTGATTGGTTGATAAATTGGATTGATTTCAATGTGTTTGTTGATTGCTAATTGACCTGAGTACCAAGCTTCTAAAAATCCGCTGATGTTTTTAGTACTCCTTCTATCCAAGATTTCAACGTTTCTGTGTGTCTACAGTTGTCCACATGCATTGATATAAGCGAGGATATGTTATGGTGTTCGACAGCTAATTGATGTTTGTGAAGACAAGGATGACGTCCACTTCGCCAGATGTAGCATCTCTCGTGGTTGGAACAGTTTATTTTTTAGATGATGTTAGGTTTTTCTTCTTTAGTTATTTCGTCTTTTGGTTTGCATAGGATTGATTGAAGTGATTTTGTTAGTTTGTGAGCTACATCTACTCCAAACGGCTTCAATAATCTTGTTGTAATTTCTGATGTCTTTCAAGTACAGAATATACTCTTGATTAAACATCCATGTATTAGCCATTCACAAATTAAACAACTTCCACATAATTTAATCTTAAGTATGAACAATTCGCTCAAAACAAATGTTTATTTATAACATATAAACATCTTGCTAAAAGACATCCAGAAGAATTTACCATTCAATGTAGAATGAGAGTATAATGAGAAAATAGAAGCAAAAAACGTCATATTATCAATGAACAAATAAACAAGAATGATATTTAATAAAATATACAATTCAATTGAAAATATAGAGAGGAGACTTCTTACAATTAGGATTCCTCTCACGTTTATGAGAACTGTGGAAAAAACCACAGCCAGATTGCCATTGACCTTTGCTTCAACCTATATCTGACATCTCAGACCATTGAATTGCATTACCCTAATAAACCCAACCAGGAAATTGAATTAAGCTAATAGCTGCTAGTTGTACACAGCAACCTTAATTCCACGGTAATATGCTATAAACTATCAATTTCGATTTTTCACCCAGTATTAGAGTAAGCACCTAATCCACAGTTTAGAGGCAGCTGAAATGACATAACCCACTAACCCGATTATCTAAGGTTATGATACTAAACAGATTATCACTACAGTGTCAAACAAACATGATTAAACTTTACGATTACTAAGAATTGCCATCAGGTGTGAGAAATTTTCCAGAGTCAGAAATGATCGAGAAAAAAAATCATTTGCTTATCATATGTCAGTTCTTCACAAGAACTGCACAATTCTAGAAGCATAAAGGAGCTAAATAGTTTAGATGCAATTATAAGACTCTTACCGTCAAAATTATTGCATCCTCTAAATAGACCCCTCAAAGATATGAATTGACAGTCGCTTCAGTCCAGGACGATAAAACGCTCTTAAACTGCTAAGTCTTTCCAAACGGTTTGGTGAGTTCTCTGAGCAGATGTTTGCCACTATTGTTGAAAAGGGCTGAGGGTAGGTTGTCTGGGATTGGTGACTAGGAATGCTCCAGAAGCTGGAGTTCGTTTTGGAGCTCCGCCTCGTTCGGTGTGTTGATAGACACATTCCAAGAACAGGAGAGGTTCACTGATGCTGTTTGATTAGTAGAAAACCAGCTAAACTATCCCCCAAAATACCCTACTTAGCATTCAAAGTGTCTTTGAAGATTACTAATTGGCGTGCCATCAACCTCACAGGATGTTTCATTTACACTACGCATCTAGCTGTTAGCAGCTCGGACAACTTGGAAGTTTCCAGGATTAACCAGATATAGCTCCTGCTCCTAACTCTTCAGCACGCTCTGACCACCAGGCATAACGGTGCCTATGAGAACTTTGAGTAGTTTTACGCGTATAGCCATATCCACCATCCACTGACAGAAAACAAAGGTGATTAAGTAGTTAAAAGTTGTATATTGATCATAATAAAAGTGACAGATTTGATGTTTAAGCGAAATCAAAATATTTTATATCATCAAGCATTTTAAGAGGAATATGTATGAACATTATGAATATTAACCAGTATCAGTACTGACATAATTATATGACCAACCACTTATGGTCTAAACGAAAAAATGCTACAATCAATGTGTAATCATTTTATTATAAAAAAGAGAAGAATTTATACCATAGGGTGATTAGCTATCTCCTTCAGTTAATGAGTGACACCTCAGAAAATCATTACAATGCTTATTTCTAACCTATTCCTGAGATGTATGCTCATAGGTTTTTCCGTAATTCTCTAAACGCACTTGATCGGACGTTTTATCACTTTATGATTAATCTATTCAAGAGCCATTCCTTTTACTATGACAATTTCAAGAAAACTTTCTGCTATGTATGTGCTTTTATTGGTATAAGCACTAGATCCTTATTATCTCCAGTACAAATCATAAAACATTGTCAATATAAGAGGAATGAAAATAACCTAATGACCTCGTGAAAAAAACTGTCTATATCTTAATTTCAAGGTGAATTTGACTGAATAAACAAGTACATGTTTTTATAATAGACTTTTAGATGTAAGATGGCGGTTGGAGGTAGTCAACAGGAAACCCTGTATCTAGGTTTTGTTCTACTTGGTACTCGTCAGTAAGGTGTACCTCTAATCTTGAGGGAACTGATGCTCCATGACGGATTCGATCCCGTGTCCCCCAGCTTCACAGTCAAAGACGTTACCACTAAACTCTCCGGGTCGCGACTGACCTCCTGGAGGGAGCATCAGTTTCCTCAAGATTACAGGTACAACATTCTGACAAGTGCCATATTTATTTAAACACATAAATATTGGTACAAGGAAGCACCAGATAAATATGCGCCTCACAAATCTCATTCAATTTGTGTGAGGGCTGTGATACTGCCCAGGTGCCCAGACTGAAGCAGGTGGTTTTCTTAGGGGACCACACCCCGAGCCTTTGACAGAAAGATCTGATTCACAAGGCAGTGGAGCATCGTGAGGAGATGCAATCCCATGGTAGCCGGTGATCAATGATTGATCCGTATGCCATTTGTTCCCTCAGGATACTGGAGCCCATGTGCACCATTGGTATGGAATCAGGATTTTCCAACTCCCCTAGGTGGATCCTCCACATCCACCAACCCGGTTAAAGCGCCGGACATTCGCTTTTCGTCCTCTCACTTTCGTAAACAACACCCCCTCCGCGAGAAGGCAGTGAGTAGGACTTCCCTGGCAGAGGCTATATATTCGCTGGCCATATGAGAGTATTTCGAGAGGGAGAGCGGACTCTCCCCACTCTCGGCCGTACCAGGGCATTAGGAGGCTAAGTAGAACGGAACCTAGACCCAGGGTTTCCTATTGACTACCTCCAACCATCATTTTATTTCAACATAGTGCACGTAATGTCGAGTCACCTAGACTAGTGGCCACATTGCAACTTTGTCGATAGGATTCAATCTCCACTAAGAAGGACCTGACATACATGACATTGATCACGACCCAGTGATCAATCAGTTGTAAACTTTTAGATGCATTTAGTACATCTACAAATACAGTCCAATAACTTAACCAAATTAAGGAAATCAATATCCAGATGATTTACAGTTCCGCTTCGAATTAAAGCCATCATTACAATAATACAGTCGCAAGACTAAATCATCTGAAAGCAAAATTTCGCCTAAAAGTAAAACCTACATTAACAAATACACAGCAAATTAAAGTTTTTTATAAAACTACAAAGCAATCTTCGAGAAACATTTGAAATAAACAAATCACTGAGACAAAAAATCAATGTTCTGAAACGTTCTAATACTTTAACAACTCACCTTTGAACTGATTGATATTCCAACTTTCTGTCTCTGCTTTCCTAATACTGTTTGTACATGGCATAGACGGAGAACGCTTTATGCTAGACAACTGAGTAATAGTTCTCAGCAGAATAAGCATAGTAGCAATCATAATGAAACTTTGAAAAAGTAAGGCGGTTGAAAATGGTTGTACAAACCTACAACGAGAAAATAATACACAAAAATATGTAAGAAGGGAGGTTAGACTAAAAGCTGATACAAACTGGATTGCGATCAGATTAAGGTCTTATATTTATGAACCAATACAACAAACTTTGAACTCTATGCCAATGTTCACTCCAAAATCGTTAATTTAACGCTAATATTCAACTGCCGTAAGTAATAAAGTAATGGAGATATCATCTTCACAGAAATTATCACAATAAATAGTAATTGCTACCGCCATAAATGGTTGAAAAAGGGAATTACTTATGAAAGACGTTGTGAGATGAAGGACAGGTGTTGGGTGGGGGTATACAGGTGTAACGCAACTTCTTGACCAATACCTTAAAGATGATGAAAAGTGGCTTTAAGCTTGATATGATGTGGCACTAAACTGGAGAAAGTAGAAATTCAGAAGATATTTCTACATGAAACAATGAGATAAAAAACAATGGCCTCAACTAAATCTCCAGTTTTCGTGATTATCATTTATCTAGCTCCTCCTTTATATACTTTATGAATGTTATCATACTATGATGTTTACTCTTGCTCCCCTATATATTGTACAACTTTTTATTTAGATAAATTATACTTGCAAAGCAAAGAAAAGCATAACAATATATTTGTATTTGATCATTCCTTTTATACAATAAGAAACAAGTCACAGGTTGTACAAACTAAATTGATAATATAATGAAGTATCTGCTATAGATTAAAATTCTAATGATCTGATGAGCGGATTTTCGATTGCTCAAGTTAGGGTAAAGAACCTAATCGGCAGATGCTATGCAGTGATACAATGTTGCTGAGTGACGACTGCTTACAAGATCGGACTGTTGACATGAACGCCCGAATGCTTTGAAATCAAAAACAAGACGACTAATTGGAATGGCATTTCTATATAATAAAAAAAGAACTGAATGCCTATAAATAAAACACTAACACAAGAAATAACACAGTAAAATTACATAGGCGACTGGAGGAAATCAGTTTTTAGGTCACTCAATCTCTAATGTATTAAGGCCTGACCATCCAGACTGATTCATGCCCTTCATATTAGTACTCCACAAAAAATTCGAAAGTTCAGGCAGAACACAGTTCACTTAACTGTAATTCAATAAACCAGTAATTGAAATGCCGATGCGAAAAAACAAGCATCAGAAAATGATTCACAATAAACAAACGTGTTAGGTTGTTTCATAATAATAAGAGGCATTTTGTGGAGTAGTTGCTTAGTGATTAAAGCAATCAACTTGCATTCATCTCTTTGGAATTTAGAACCCCACTTTAATTCTTTATATCTCGGGAGCCACTTGGTAAACTAGTCCTGACACGAGAACCTAACTTGAAGCCGAGTACACGAACTTAAACATGATTTTCAAGTCATTTGGTTACTACTAAGAAACAAACTTACAGTGGTTAGCTTTGTAAGGTTCTGAAGCAAATTTTACCCGAATATGGTACTAATATAGAAATAGTGCGGGAAGGTTGTGATTATACGATCGAGTCCATTATAAAATATGCTTTTAGTGATTATCTTTCAATCTTCGTAATACTGAAGTACTAAGTAAATAATTTAACATTAAAAACCAAGTTTTTAGTAGAAGAGACGGTATATACTATCATCTTAATGGTATCTAATTGTCATGTATACCTTAACAGACAATTCTCATTATAAAAAACATATAAATTTAAAAATTGGAACATTGTCTTATAGTCCAATGATTTTCGGTTTGGTTTCGAAAAAGAAAGGGTGACTACTTATTCCATTAAAAACATGAGTATACGAAGTAATGAAAACTTACCAAAACAATATCCTTAGAATATTCGATATTAAAAGTAAAAAACAGACAAATGAGGAAAAACCTTTAATAGATTCTGTTTTGCGAATTTTCAAATATTGTGGAATATAAGGAACCGCTCCTCCAAAAATATAAAGTAGACTGAAGAAGTTATACAATAGTCTTCCATCTTCAGTTGTAATATTTTTATTGCCTTCAAATATATTAGACATAAATCAAGCTAAACACAATCTAAAAGAATTCAAAATGATAAAGATAAATTTTACATATAAAGGGTAAATATCTAATATTTTAATTCAGAAACACTAAGTCAAACGTAAGTGTTACGAAAATATATTTGGTGTGAACAACTTCCTAACCCTCTAGACAGAACTATTATAACAGCAGTTCAACGACAGTAAACAAAGACTTTTCAGTTGTATTATTATTGACGACTGAGTGGTTATATGTATATTTTGATTATTTGATTAGATTTCTCTATCATCATAAGATAACCTTATCCCTACTGCCAAATATTTCACTTAGTCTCAAAGTTTGAGAAAGAGACGAAAGTCTTCTCATATTACAACAGTTAAGAGTTGACTAATCAGTCCTAATCAACGTAAAGTTTTCAAACCACATCAGTACGACGAGATAAAATTAGCAGTATGAATGGCGAAGTAGAAATAATGTAATAGTAATGATGAGAAAGACCAAATCATTGATATGATTTGAGCGCCATATGCGCCATACAAATCTCATTCGATTTGTGTGAGGGCTGTCATACTGCCCAGGTGCCAAGACTGAAGCAGGTGGTTTTCTTAGGGGGCCACACCCCGAGCCTTTGACCTAAAGGTCTGATCCACAAGGCAGTGGAACATCGTGAGGAGATGCAATCCCATGGTAGCCGGTGATCAACGCTTGATTCGTACGCCATTTTTTCCCTCAAGATACTGGAGCCCATGTGCGCCATTGGTTGGGAATCAGGGTTTCCCAACTCCCCTAGGTGAACTCGCCTTGTCCACCAACCCAGACAGAATGAAGAAAGGATGAATACTGGAACTTAAGATCTGGAGCAAGATGAGGAGTAGATCTATTAGCTCTACCGAGACCACTTCTGCCCCCAAATGCCCTGGTACGGCCGAGAGTGGGGAGAGTCTACTCTCCCTCTCGAAATGCTCTCATATGGCCAGCGAATATATAGCCTCTGCCAGGGAAGTCCTACTCACTGCTTTCTCGTGGAGGGGGTGTTGTTTACGAAAGTGAGAGGACGAAAAGCGAATGTCCGGCGCTAAAACCGGATTGGTGGACACGGAGGGTCCACCTAGGGGAGTTGGGAAACCCTGATTCCAAACCAATGGTGCACATGGGCTCCAGTATCTTGAGGGAAAAAATGGAGTACGAATCAAGCGTTGATCACCGGCTACCATGGGATTGCATCTCCTCACGATGCTCCACTGCCTTGTGGATCAGGCCTTTAGGTCAAAGGCTCGGGGTGTGGTCCCCTAAGAAAACCACCTGCTTCGGTTTGGGCACCCGGGCAGTATCACAGCCCACACACAAATGAATGAAATGATGAACTCTATTGACGATTCTATTCCTGCTCATATTATAAGCAAGACAATTTACATTATTATTATTGTTATTATTATTATTACTTACCATATCGCTAATTCACCCCTTTTATCCCCAATTTGTGTAACCTTACTCTTCAACTTATGCAGCAGCTCGCTCTTGGTGGAAAATCTGTCCTATCTAAACGATCTCCAGTCACTGTCTGGTTGAAAGTGAATGCTTCCACCGATAATGAATACTGAGGCAGTCTTTCTGAAACCACGAACGCCGTTCAAGCTGGCTTCCTTCAACGTTCGCACACTAATGCAGATCAGACAACAGATAGGGCTGGCTATGTCTTTGGAAGGTCTTAATGTTGATGTTTGCTGTCTATCCGAAACCCGTATTCAAGACTCTAGTGAAGTACTACAAATCCGCTGTCCATCTGTCGCCTCGAAAAGCATGTTCCACGTGCGCTTATCCGGGGACCCTGTGGCATCTTCGTCTGGTCTTGCTGGCGTTGGTGTCGCACTAAGCGCTAGGGCTGAGGCAGCACTAATCGATTGGATCCCCATTAACAGTCGGTTATGTGCTGTTAGATTAGAAAGTTCCATCAAAGTGAGAAGAAACCGGCGTGAGAAACGGTGTCTTCTCGTCATCTCCGCCTATGCCCCGACAGATTGCAGCCCGGATGCAATCAAGGATGAGTTTTACCATCAGTTAACAGTTCTTCTCCAGAAAGCGCGTTCGACAGATATTGTAGTACTAGCCGGAGACTTGAATGCACAGGTCGGGCGTCTAGGCACAGAAGAGAGTCGTTTAGGTGGCCGATGGGGACTTGTTGGTCGCAGGACAGATAACGGGGACCGTTTGCTGCAAATGTGCACAGACCACAACCTGTTTCTGGCCAGCACTAACTTCCGGCACAGTCATCGCCGGTGTGCCACCTGGCGTCCTCCCTCTGCATCCCAAGCCTGGACTCAGATTGATCACATCGCGATCAGCTACCGCTGGCGTGGTTGTGTACAAGACTGCCACTCCTTTTGGAGTACCTATCTGGAGTCTGATCATGCCCTGGTCTGCGCCAATCTCACCTTACTTTTCAGTGGCCGAAGGATTGACCACCACCAACGGATTGATATTAGTAAACTGGCTGCAACTCCTGTTGCAAGTAAGTATCGAGCGGAGCTAGCCTCTAGGCTAGCTAACACCCCACCGAAAAGTATAGATGAGTATTGGTTGCATCTTCACGACGCTATGAAAATGGCGAGTAAAGCCGCTTGCGGCTTCGCGAAACGTCCCGCTTACAAGCACTGGGTTTCTTCTGGCTCCTTACGACTGATCGAAGCCCGTCGGTCTACTCCGGGTGACCGTGAGTTTGACCACGAACGAAGGCTGTTACGTAATGAAATTGGGCAAAGCTTGCGTAAGGACCGAGAAGCCTGGTGGTCGGAGCGTGCTAATGAGATGGAAGCAGCAGCTGCATCTGGTAACTGCCGGAAGCTCTCCCAACTCATCCGAGCCACTGGCAGCAAGAAGTCAGGTGTGAGTGAAACAATCTACGAGGATGATGGGATGCCAATCACTAACATCTCCCGACGTCTTGGACGATGGGCGGAATTTTTCGAAGGGCAGTTCAACTGGCCTGCTGCTCCGGCAACATCAACCAGCTTGTCCTGCCCCCCCATGGCCGGTGACGACTGTTCCACCAAACGAGGCGGAAATCCGCAAGGAACTCCAACTCTTGAAGCGCTACAAATCACCTGGCCCAGATGACTTACCTCCGGCTCTTTTTAAAGATGGTGGCGACTTTCTGACTAAGGAATTGACTGTGTTGTTTGCAAAGGTTTGGGAGCAAGAAAGTGTTCCAACATCATGGAATGAGTCAATAGTCGTCCCTATCTTTAAAAAGGGTTCACGTTGTTCCTGCAATAACTATAGGGGGATAAGTCTACTTCCGATTGCGTCCAAACTATTGGCTTCTATCATTCTTCGTAGGTTGTTTAAAACCCGAGAACGATTGAATCGCGAGGAGCAGGATGGTTTTCGTTCTGGTCGAGGATGCATTGATCACATTTTCACCCTCCGCCAAATGTTAGAACACCGTCATACTTATCGCAGGCCAACAATCGTAGTGTTTCTTGATATCAAGGCGGCCTTCGATTCGTTGGACAGGACTGTTCTCTGGGATTGTCTATTGAAGAAGGGTGTGCCTGAGAAGTTCATTAACATCTTAAAGGGCCTGTATACGAACACCTCAGGCAGAGTGAGGGCATACAACCACCTTTCTCCCTTGTTCCATTCGAGCAGTGGAGTTAGGCAGGGTTGCCCGATCTCACCATCCCTCTTCAACTTTGCCATCGACGACATCCTGGAAACAGCTCTGATGGATGTAAGTAATGGCGGTGTGGATATGTTGCCTGGAGAACGACTTCTCAACCTTGAGTATGCGGATGATATTGTGTTACTGTGCGATAATGCCCAAGGCATGCAATCAGCACTTAATCAGTTGGCAATCAGTGTCCGCAGGTACGGCATGTGCTTTGCAACCTCCAAGTGCAAAGTACTTCTACAAGACTGGCAGGATTCTAATCCTGTACTCACCCTGGATAGTGAGCAGATCGAAGTAGTTGAGAAGTTCGTGTATCTAGGTAGCTATATAAGTGCTGGTGGTGGCGTGAGTGATGAGATTGATGCACGTATAAGGAAAGCCAGATCGGCTTATGCCAATCTGGGCCATCTTTGGCGCCTTCGTGATGTTAGTCTGGCTGTAAAAGGTCGGATCTACAACGCGTCGTTGAGAGCAGTTTTGCTCTATGCTTGTGAAACCTGGCCTCTCCGAGTTGAGGATGTTAGACATCTCTCAGTGTTCGATCATCGTTGTCTCCGAGGGATTGCTGACATCCAGTGGCAACACCATGTTAGTAATGCAGAGGTTCGGCATCGTGTGTTCGGACGCAGAGACGATAATTCAATTGGTGTCACCATCTTGAAACACCGACTTCGGTGGCTTGGACATGTTTTGTGAATGTCGTCCCAGAGACTTCCACGTCGTGCATTATTTGCCGACTCTGGGACTGGTTGGAAAAAGCGGAGAGGAGGTCAGTGTATGACATTGTTATATCCCCTGGTGAATTATGAATCGTAAATCTGAGGTCTATTATCGACCAATGTATTATGCCTATTTCTTATTGTACAGTTGTTACGTAACTAAATTATTCATATTCGTGTTTTCTATTATTTTGATCTTTGATTTATGATCATACGATTCTTGAGTTATAATCAGTTTATTGATTACTTTGGTTTGTATAAAAACCCAGTGTGTTTGTAAATAATGATTCATATTGCCGAGGCTGTTATTTGTGTTCTGGACTCAACTGGCTGGGCTAGACAGATAGGAAGGACCGAATAGCACCCAAGACTGCGCTCAGGGCATACTTTATAACAGACATGGTGTCGTGGCATGAAAGAAAGCTGCAAAGGGCTAGCTTCTGTTGGTCCTTCACGACTCCTTGGTTGGGGTCCGAGAGATGGTGCAACACAGTGGCTAGAGACGTTATCAGATATGGCTCAGAATAGAAACCAGTGGCGATCCTGCTGCAACCTTCTTTTACTTTCTACATAAAGAATGGTTCTTACTTTCCTATTTGAAAGAGTCTTCTGGTTGTACATTTTAGTCCGCCTTATCTTTTCATCCCTTCTCTTCCTACTTTCATTATTTTGTGTGGCGCATATGTATCTGGTGCCCTTTTGTACCAATATATATGTGTTTAAATAAATAAATAATAAATATCTGAGCCACCTTACTTAACGTCTCAACCAATAATTGCAGTTATCGGGCGGGTCCCAACCAGGGATCTTGTATTTGCTAATATGGCTCAGACCAACAATCATTGATTTTATGAACCGATACATTATTTTCTTTTGACTTAACTTGGCTTTCTTCAAACCTACTTTTGCACCAGCTAGCATAGACCTCCAAGAGAGATGACAATCAGACATACGTAATACATTTTATCTCTTTGAACAAAAATGTTGGCACAAAGGGGCACCAGATATATATACGTAATACATGCCCAACTACCTCAGACGATGAAGATTTCCAACCACATAAACCGATTCCCTATCCATCTCTAGTAACTTGTGCCTTACCTTAGTATTGTTTACTCAATCATTTTACGATACCTGAGCAATGCAACAAAGATGTC